AAAGTAACGTCGGGTAGACGTTCTTTACTGTGCTACTTTTCAAATTTAACCTTTATTGCGAGATGCGCAACAACATTGTTCTTTCATTTCTACGTATGTATATTTTAAGCCTTGTTGTATGTTACATTCGATTTTGCTCTCGTTTAATTTTGTATCCTGATTTTGCGATAAAAAGGAAAAAAAAAAAAAAAAAAAACTCTCCACAGTACAGATTTTTTAATCTTATATAGATTCTTCGCTCCATCCTTCATTATATTTTATATCATTCCTTTAAGTTGTCATCAAACGAACTGAGGAAATCTTTGTGGTGATTAGTCATGGAAGCGACGAAGCGAGCATTGCCTCTCACGTTGTTGTCTGTGAACGTGGTATCCCTAAATAAAAGTTTTAGCAAGTGGCAGGAAAACGGTGTCCCGTTTATCGAGACGTCGAATTTTAAGCCAAAAATAAAAATAACTTTTTTAATGTATATAGAGACTGCGCCTTAGCCGAGAACAGGGAAATAGCAGTTGTATGTTTACTGTTATTGGTATATGATAAGGCATATGTGAAATATTTATCTAATGGAAAACAAGACTTCATAGAGGACTTTTTAAAGGAAAATAGCCCTTATTCATGCTGCAAGAAAGGAAAACTGTAAAAACCAACTATGCGGCCGTTCAGTTGAGTCAGAACCTAGAACGAACTACTATCTTTAATCGCTGTCGAAAATAACTAATTAAATAAATAAATAAATAAAATATTTTATAATAATTAAATCAAAAATTGTTTAATATAATGTGTGTTTGATGTAATTCTGTTAGATTAATCTGTCACAATCCAACTTTTGTTAATCTATTAAGTTCATTGTAATAATTGCATTACCGTGTTATTGTAATGTTATATTCAATACGAAAGTCTAGAATCAATGTAAAGCAGGGCTTAATTTAAGATGAGAAGTGACGGAGCCCTATGGAAGACCGTCAACAACAAGAGTAAATAAATAAATAAAATGACTATTAAACCCATTAATAATTTAAAAATTAATAGTTAATTATTATCAAATTAATTAATATCTATTTAATTCATGTTTATAAATTGTTATTTAATCAATAATTATTAGATAAGTAATCGTAATTTAATTGATAATTATTATATAATTAATTAATTATAATTTAATTGATAATCATTTGATAATTATTATTTATTGAAATAATTAAATAATTAAAACAATAAAATGTAAAGATATAAATTGAAATTTAATACGCGATTTTTAATATAATTTTATTGTTAAGATAAAACTTCTACTGAAATTGTTATTCAATTACATAAACGAAGTGCCGCAGCCTTCTTATTCAGGGTTCCGGTGCGTTCCGGCTAGAAATTATGATTTATTACAAAAATTAATAAGCCCTGGAGCCGAAATATGGTGCGCTCCGGCCCAATTTAAGCTCTGATCGTAAGGAGGGAAGTTCTTTTATCATCACAAAAATTAAATATACTTATAGCTGATGAAAATTTCGGGGCAAAACAGAATGAGGGTATGAGTGGGTGGAAACAAAAAAGTGAGGGGAATCTTGGTGAGAGAGAACATTCTCTTTGATCGCGGCTCTCTACTGATATAATTATAGCCATCAAGCAGATGTATGTCAGCAGTAAAATGAGTCCTGAATTTGACTCCTAAGGATGAATGTAAAGTTGCTGGTTACGTTTCTCCCCCTCCCCATTAGTGCGTACTGTGGGAAGATGATGTATAGAACGTGTTTGAGCAGTTTATCTAAGTATTTCACTCTTATTGTACTCGCTGTCACTTAACGCACATTTAAGAACACAAATTTTCCTTCCTGCGAGAATAACTAACCGTAAGCATCGGTAACAATGCATTAGATACAATGGCATGACGAGAAATTAACGCGTTCCTAAACAAACTCCTCCAAATTTATTGCTTTTCTTAGTGGGAAAGGTTTCCGCATGTGAGTGAGGGGACTTTACTTGAACGTCTCATGTTCTCATGAGTTCGTATTTCTAGGGAAATAGAGTATTGCAAAGTCTGCTTATTGTTAAACTAAAACGTTAAGAATTCTTTTTTTTCCCCTTTAAATTGTAGTTCAGTTTTATGAAAAGAAGTACCGGAGCTCATCTTATTTAGGGCTCTGGTGCGCTCCGGCTAAAATTGTAATTTATCTTAAAAATTGAGGAGCACCGGAGCCGGGTTCCGGCATAATTTAAGCACTGATGTAAAGTATCTCTGTAAATGTCTTGTTGGACTGGCTTCTGATGTGGGCCAACCGAACGCACAGAGGGTACAGTTGTCACCACCAGAACAACCGGTTTTTTTCGGTGGTGACGCTACAGTAGTGCGGCAGAGCAAACCTGTTAGTCCCTGACGAACTTCTGGTGCTCCGTCCACTTTTCCCTGTCCCTGTGTATCAATGTAATCTTCAACATGTGACACGAAATTTCGAATGCAGTAGAACTATATCCATATAGAATTTTAATTCATTTTGTTCATACTACACGAGTTAGTAAATTTCTAAATGCAGATCATCACATTTCTTACTGACTATAAAGATAGTTTAGAATGCAGTTTAGCTTACCACAATGCTCTCTACTGTTTGAAATACAACGTTGTGAGCATGTTCGGAGAACAACCTTCGTGCGACATTTGGATCTTTTGAAGATGCAGGTTATGTTTTAGCATGTTGTTTGCAATATGTTTTTGATGAGCATGGGATTTAAAACCCCGGTCATAAACAATTTTCACTTATTTAAAGCTTTCAAATTTTGGATCTTTCAAATCATCATTCAGCATTCACATATGTTAAGTTTGATCATAGACGATAATGATCCATTGGCATGAAGAAACCATAGAACGAAAAGCTCAAGTTTCAAATTTCAAACTCTCACGTAAGTCGTAATAATTAGTAACTTCTGCTAAGTCTTACAAAACCATGTAATCAGGAAATAACTGAATAGTATTCAAATGCAGCAGAACAAAACGGTCTATGTGCTATCATCTATGATTAGTTATTGTAATGAAAAGTTTACCACAATGTTCTCACCCATATATCAAAGGTGCGAAGAATTAGAGATGTTATGTGTTGAAACACATTCGTCCATCAGAAGGAGTTGTAGTAATTGTAGTCAGTATCACTGTCTGGATCCAAAGCAGGATGAGCCACTGAAACTGCAAATTATGACAACGGTATCACTATAGGTCATCCCACATATCCACACATCGGAAGAATAATTGTTTAGAGTAATTTTTCTGCTTTATAACAAGATATAAAAGAGCCAGTCGCAACGGACTTTTTTGGGGTTATTACCATGTAAAGCGGAAAGTGATTCTCCATCGCAAAGACCAATAAAGAAATCACATTCAAATTCAAACGTAGTTTTATGTTTATTCGATGCTGATTGTGTTAATGTACAATTAACAATTTTTGAGGAAGGGAGGAAAAAACAAGGGTCTTTCTTGTAGTACTAAAGCGAGTAGAAAAATTAGTTGAAACAATTTTCCTTTCTAAAGAGATGTAGATATGTATTTGTGCCTTAAAAAAAGCTGGCTGCTTATTGGAGTGTTCAACGGTGAAATTTCGTCCGATTCGATGAATGCTAATTGGAGATTATCTATAAGGAAACAGATGAAAGCTTTGTGTTTATTTTTTAAATAAAATTCCCTCACTCTAAAATGCTAGTTATCAAAATCATTAAAGCCATTACAGAAGTTCCGTTTCTTTAGTACACCTACTATTCTGTAATCTGACATTTATATTTTTCATTCAAAAATTTCGATGGAGTAAGGAAGGCATACCAAGAACTTGAAGTTGTTGAAATTTAGCAAAGATTTTTTTGAATACTTTTACCAACACAGAAAAATTCTTCTCCACTTTCATATGACATTTTGGTGTTCGCGGTTCTTTACCTCAGCAGTGACCGATTTGAAGATGGGTGAATATTAGCAATTAGTCCTGGCCTTAAAGAATGGGTTGGCTGCAGAGCTAAAAGCCCATGCAGCAAGTCCATTCTTTGAGAAGCGTCTTCGAATATTATGTATGCAACGTTGCATTGACGAAAGATTTACGATTTTTTTTTCTGTGTTTATTACGAGAACACGAGCCAGTGCTGCTTTCGTAATATGAATATGCGCTATTTCCTAGTTTGTAAGATCTTCGTGGAGAATCTTAAGCCTTTCCGAAGGCATCTCTCTCTTCAAGCAGATAACCCCAATGAGTTTGGCTATAATCCAATAAATCCCAATCCTTCTGCCTACTGCGATGATACATAGGACTAATAAAACTGTATTTCATATTAAAAATAATGTTATAAAAATATGCCACATGGAGCAAACCACCCTCTCTAGCTATGCCAATGCTTCAGCACTACGCCTGATGTTGCTGGCTGAAAAATTAAATCGCTAGCTGCATTAGATTCCATTACTAAAACCACATGTTGAAATTTTGATGAATCGCAGCATAGAATTATAGGATAATTATAAAGATGTCATTATTAAACAAGTAAAAAAGAAGCTGTTAATACGATGCGTACCAGTTAAGAAAACTTAACCAGCTAAATAACAGGACGCAGTTAAAAAAAATATTCGTTCTGAGTTATCGCTCGTATTATTGCTTTGCAGAAACTTGCTGAATTCTGAAAAAACTTAAAGGGGTGTCAGAGTTTGTTAATGAAATTTGTGGCTAAGACTTGTAGTGTTTGACTTCGTTCTGATTACTCATTTGTCTAAAACACTTGATAAAGTATTTTTCGTTTAAAATTATAGAATTGATTTAAACGTCAATAATATATTTTTTTATTAAACAGCATTTTGTTCTTAACTTGTATGCACTATTACTGCAAATATTAATTTTTTTTCTCTCAAGGAAATTACTTCAAAATCTTTTCTTTTATAACGATATAAGATTACGAGTTTCGGCTGTGTATGTAAAGAGAATGAAAATAAGTGATAATGCTTATACATATAAAATGTTGTCCACGTTCTTCACGAAAGAATCAAGACATTGTAAATGCACATAGAGACATTTATTCTGGGAAAAAGGAACATCTTAGAATCAAAGGAAAATAGCAATTAAAAATGACCTTCAGATAAACTGGAATTAAATAATTAGATCTAATACTTAACAATAACATTTCATACCGTACAGAAACAGTGAAGAAATTAGTTTATAACTCTAATAAATAACATAATTAATATAATTCAATAACTCACATTATTTATATTATGTTACTTAAGCCATGATAATGTTACTCCATGAGCGTTTCATATGTTAAACCAATGCAAGATGCTTTTAAACATTTTCAGCCGGAGAAAGTACAAAAATTTTAATCAGAAATAACTAACTGCAATATGAAACCGAGGAATTCCGCTCAATTAAATTACTTTAGTACACTATTAGATGACTAACTTTATTACAACATTTCTTCAAAATGGCAAGTACAAAGTACCGATTCAAATCAGTTAGTCTTTTAATTTCGAGTTTTGCTCAGAAACAAGTAACTGCGATATGAAACTGGAAGTCATGTTCGGCAATATTACTTCAACAAACCAGGCAATTGAATTCAGTCCTTTCTTGAGAATCCTAGGCGTACTGCTGCATCAATTCGAATTGTACATCCATTTAACATGGGATTTTCAATTATTGCTTTAACTAAATGTGCTACTTCATCTGGCTTCCCTATCCGATGAGGAAAAGGTACCGTTTTTAATATTTCCTTTAGATCTTCTTCGGGAACGTACTTACAAAGTGGAGTATCAAACACACCTAAAATTGTTTGAAATAAAAATTGTTATTATTAATTTAAAGACACGCTCACTAAAAAGTAAATGTGCATTTGCATTCGAAACATTTAATTTATATATGCATTTAAGAAAATTCTAAGATGTTGTAATAAATTAAATTTCCTTAGAAAATAGAATTTAGAATTGCAAACTTTTTAAAAATATTTAAAGTATTGTAATCATGGATTGCAAAAAATATGGGATTTGAAATAAAGGAATAGTTGGAGTTCATAAATTATTGAAAAATAATATTTTGTATTTCGTTTAGTTTTTAAATTAAAAAAAATATCGAGAAGTAAATCTGCTGTCAAAAATCAAGATTTTTTACTACAGAATATACGTTAGAAAGTTAACATTTTATCTTTTGCGACGAATTACATGTATTCTTTCCAGTGTGATAGGTAAAAATTAATAATAATTATACTAGACAGACAAGCGAGGGGCAATTTATATTAAAAATTGTTTTAATACAAAAATCTATTAAATTTAAAACAGAGTCAATTGATAAAGTGTGAGTTTTAGTTGGATTGCCTTTATGAAAAGCAATCCAGCGTGAAAATAAAGAAATTGTTTTACAACATCGACATGAAGATCGTCTTTGAATGTATACTTTTTTTTTTTACATTTTATCGAAAGAATGTTAAAAATATTAAATGAAATCGCAAAGGCAGTATTGTATGTATATGCTATAATAAGGAAGTGAACAAAACAAAATTTGGCATTAATTTTATATAGAACTAAAAGTGTGGAGACATTAGGTATTTTTAAAAAGCAGGAAAGATGAAAAATGAGCAACGCACTCTCCGGGAATCGAACCACGGACCTCTGAAATACCGGCCCAGCGTGCAGAACCACTACACCACAAAGGCTCGTTAGGAAAGCGGGAGAGATACATTATAAAAGAGCCTAATAAAATGGACAGATATACGAGAATAAGATATTATGGTTGATCTTTACATTACGGTAACTGGTAGTTTGGCGACATTTTGGAGGCGATAAAGGTTACTACCTGGGACTTTGGTAATAATGTGAGCAGTACTGAGTTCCGATTACGCATTATTTTGTGGGGGGGAAATGAGAGATCATGGGATATGTCATGTGATATTAATGGACGAATTACGGTTCTTTAATCGGAAGAGATCATGGGATATGTCATGTGATTTTAATGGTCGAATTACTGTTCTTTAATGAGGAAAAATCTGGGAATTTTGTATTTGGCTTTATTCTGTGTTGTGTGAAATAGTGTTTGTGAATTTTTGGATCCCATGGCCGTAAGTAAAGTGAATTCGAAATGGGTATTTAGTGGTATTGAAAAGGATAGTAAGAATTTGTTTTTTTAAGGTTGTGTGAGAGAGAGAATAACATGTTTATTATGTTATTTATTTTACGTGGTATCTTGCTTTGAAAGATAAGTATGATTTTAAAGATTCTGAAAGAGAATGAAGAAAAGTGTATCCGCCACGTAATGAAGATTCGGAAGGAGATTAGGTAAGTTAGTATTTTAATTATTTTATGCATTGTTGGAAATGTAAGGTGGAAAGGAATTTGGTATTATTGGGAAAATTGTTATTAGCAATGATTTAGTTTAAAGTAATTAGGATTGTAAGGTAATTTTTATTAATTGATATATGTGCTCATGTATATTTTAAGTGGTGTTTTTGAATTTAATTATATTTTAATGAAATGATAGTTATTTTGTGAATTTTATACTTGTAGGAATTTGGTGTATGTTTAAGTTGAAATAAATGTGCATGGAAATTTAAATATTTGATAATAAATATTTGTAATGCTTCATGTATGAATTCGTTGGTGATGTGTATAATGTAATAGATGATTTAGAGGTAAAAGTTTTTGGATATTTTATTTATTTATATGTGGAAATGTTCATATTTGTAAGGGTAAATACTTTTTCGCGCGATCATGTAATTTCATATATGTTCTTTTTACCGGGTTTTTAAAGATTGAGAATATTGTCATGTATTTTCGTGAAATTTTTTTAATTTATGAGATAAAAGCGTGTACATGTACATATAGTGAAGAGTGTGCGCAATGCCATTTTTGTGCAATTCTGGGATGTTTTTAAGTAAAAATAAGTCGACGTGTACATGGTTCAGTGATATTTTAATGAAATGATAGTTATTTTGTGAATTTTATGCTTGTAGGAATTTGGTTTACGTTTAAGTTGAAATAAACGTGCATGGAAATAATTTAAATATTTGATACTAATATTTGTAATGCTTCATGTATGAATTCGTTGGTGACGTGTATAATGTAATAGATGATTTAGAGGTAAAAGTTTTTGGATATTTTATTTATTTTATATGTGGAAATGTTCATATTTGTAAAGGGTAAATACTTTTTCGCGATCAGGTAATTTCATATATGTTCTTTTTACCGGGTTTAAAGATTGAGAAAATTGTCATGTATTTTCGTGAAATTTTTCGAATTTATGAGAAAAAAAGCAGTGTACATGGATATAGTGAAGAGTGTGCGCAATGCCATTTTTGTGCAATTCTGGGATGTTTTTTAAGTAAAAATAAGTCGGCGTGTACATGGTTTATGTGTATGTGTATTTTGAAAAAACGCGTAAGGTGTATGGTATTGTGCACTTTTTCCGAATTTTGCAGTGAATATTTGTCATGATTAAGCAGTTTTGTTTGATAAAATTTCTAGCATAAGTGTAATTCGGCTAGTAGATTGTTGGAAGAAGTGTTCAGTAGATAAGAAGAAAAGAAACATGTCTTTACTTCGTGAAGACAAAATGGCGGCGGGGAAAAAAAAATAGAGGGTTGCTGTAGGAGAGTTGGTTGCCAAATTTTCGCCAAAAAATCGCCAAGTTACCGTAATGTAAAGATCAACCGATATTATATACTAAAGGATCATAACAAGATTGACATAATATTGCTACTACATTCTTTCACCATGGAAAGACTTGGACACAGGAAAGTTCCACAAGAAAGACTTGCATGCTCCGAAAAATTTTTCACAGTTTATGATCGATTAGTTGCAGTATATTTTAAATTACTTGTGAAATTCAGGGAAAATTCGAATTTTGTATGAAACGACACAGCGAGTTTTGTATGAAATGACGCAGTTTTGTACTACACGATACGAGGCATGAGTGCAATATTGTTCTCTGTTCTCTTCAAAAGAAGACATAAAGTCAGACCATATAAATAACCATTTCATCTACCTTGAAACATAATTAATTATTTAAATTGCATTACGTAGACATGTGGTCTCAAACACAAATTGCACGCAGGCCAAATGCACGATTTGAAAGTAATTGACGGGTTGCAATTAAAAAAAAAGGGGGGGAGTAAGAAAAGAATATTTTTTCCTGTTAACAGAACAAAAATTTTTTAACTAAATTAAAAACTTTTAAAACGTATACTTGTCAAAACAAAAAATTCGAGTTTATATTCATTTTCTGCCTGAAATCTAAAAGTCTGTTCCTAAAAGTTTGCAAGAAATTTCTATTGGTCACATTTGTAATTCAAATGCAATGACAGTTAAATATTAAAATTATCAGACTAGCATTGATTCAAATAATTGTAACACATTGAAATAACCACTAAGTAACTGAATCTTAACAAAAACTTCCCAGGAGGGACAAAACTTGAGAATATATAATGAAACCTGTTCTCTTCCTTTCTTTCATCTATTATAGTTTGCGCTATCGCATACAAAAAAGATTGTTTTATTTAAATTGTTATACATTCTTTTGTTTCTTACTAAACTTTTCAGTTATAACACTTTATGGAGTTTTGATTTTCGTAAAATTAGTAATCTTGAAACAAAATTACTAGAAAGTACCTTAATCACAAATTGTAAATACTCATTGGCAGGCCGGCTCTTTTCATAGACTTATTTTCACCTATGCGTAGGAGGGGAAAGAAAAAAAAAAGAACTGTTCATATGTAAATGTACTCCCAAACAAAGCGAATATTCTTATTGCAAAAACTCATAGCTAAGAACATTTATCTTTTAATTACTAATAAAAGTTAATCAAATTTGTTAATTAGATTCCTTTCTAGACTTTCCAGAGAGTTAATCGCGCTCGTTTTTAGTCATGAAAATGTTCAGACCACTAAAATATTAATTAAATTCGTGGGCCACATAAAATTGCCCATTCGGAAGCCGCATGCGGTCTGCGGGCCACCAGTTTGAGATCATTGACGAAGACTCTCCTCATTCAGGATTAATTGTTAGCTTTTATCAAAAATACGTACTGGGTGTAATCTTCTGTTATCTTCTTAAAAATTATCTAAGATTTATTATTATATTTTCTGATTTTTTATGGAAATTTATACAGATTTTTTTCTTATTTTCGTTTGTCATTGTAATTTGAATCTACGAAGCAAGAATAATTACCTCCAACTGAGCACAACCCATGTTGTTTTGGGCCAAATATTTAGAAACTTTTAAGATTAAAAACGTGTTAAGTACTTCAGAATTTCACTTTATATCATAAACATGAAAAAAATATAGGCAGTAGAACAATTTTTAATTTAGATTATAAAAATATTCGTTTTAACAAATCAAAGTTACCAGGAGCTATGGTGCAGCAGCGAATTCCTTCACACGCCAAATCTCTGGATAAAGGAAGAGTCATCCCAACCAATCCCGCTTTGCTAGCAGCATAACATGTTGTACCTTGTGCACCATCAAAAGCAGCTAAGCTTGAAATATTAATAATTACACCTTTCTGTCCATCTTCATCTGGCTTATTTTTTGCCATTAACCCAACAGCAAGTCGTGTAACGTTGAAAGTTCCAGCGAGATTAACCTGATAAAAATAAACCATTTATTTAGGTATTTCAAATAAAAGTAGATTTTCAAATATGAAATGGAACTGTAGTCTGAAATTTCATTAACTCTTCTTGGAAATGTGAAGCTATAACCTGGAAACTTGAAATTACAATCTTACGCTTCAAAACACCAGTTTACTCTTCAAAATTTAAAGTAAATAAATACAATAACAAATAAATAAATAAATAAATAACAAAAATAACAATAAAATATAAATAAATAAATAAATAACAATAAATACAATAACAATAAATAAGTAAATAAAAATTAGTAGTAAAATCAATAAAAACAAAATACTAGAAGTAGATGGAATTATGCTGAACAAATATACCACAAAGTGTAGGAAATAATCTGAGATGAAAAATTTTGTTATGCTTCTGTTAACGAAATTTTCCAAGATTACTTAAAACTTTAATAATTTATTCGCTTACTTATTCTTGCCAAAGATGCCCGAGAATTACTAAATCAAAATTCAGGAAATGGATCTGCGATATTTGCAAAATGCTTCATTTCGCAATTAATATTAGTTTTGGACATAAAAGGCTTTATATCTACATAAAGTTTTTTCTCATTAAAGAAAATACGAAATGCACTTGCAGGCTATAATTTCTGTGTAAAGTGTTTTTGTAAGATTCCTTTTTCACAAATAATTGTTACAATATGGTTGTACATCTGCTTATTGCAAAGAAGATTTGTTATTTTTAAATATAACAAATTTTGTGGCCTGCTGTAATTTTATAAAAAACCATTTTAGTTCTTTCGTTTAAAAATTTTTAAAGCAACAGAGTGTACTATTACACGATTTTCTGAAACTTATTTTGTGTGTTTCTTTATTTTATTTACTTTATGAGTAAAAACTCGAAATAAATTTTTAACCTTCTTTTACCCCTTTTTTAAACATTTTTCATTGGTATGCATTTGCAATGACAATAAAAATGACAAGTGGCGGAGGACGGGGATATCTGAAGTAAACAGGTATTTGTCCCGCTTCCTCCTCTTATCTATAGGAACCAACTCCCTAGAGCCGTAGAAAGCTGCCTCGGGAGTTAATTGCAAATTACTTCGAAATTGCATGGCCTTTTAAAGGCTTAGCGTATCTGAGTCATTTACAAGACCTAAGTTATAAAACAAAAGTATGCCACAAAATTATTACTATGAGTACACTACAAAGAAATATTATGCTGAAATATTTTGCCATTGCTTTGCTGCTGCAAACATTTTGAGATCAGGGATATTTTTCGTGTTCCTTTTAAAACATGCTTTATTAATCTAAAATTTTTATTATTATTTTTTTCCGTATATCGGGAGGATAAACCACCCCGTGAGAATGGAGTGTAACGATCATTGATGATTTTTCGAAAATATTTCCTTTACAATGTTATGTTAGTTCCATGTTAATGTCCCTGTCAGCCTAATAATTTCTTACATGAAAGAAAAAAGTGCATTCAATACTGTCGTTGAATAATACACGTATATAAGAAAAAAAAATTTCTTCTCTGACAAACATTTATTTTTATGCAATGGTATAAAAGATGTTACACATTAAAAAATGGGCAATATTCATGAAGTGATACTATTCAATTTAAAATATGTATCTTCTGTTCCAAATCTACATTAGTCAACTTAAAAAAACAAATTTTACTTTTTCAGACAGATTATGAATATTGTGAATTTACTCTGTATGATGCTGTCTTCTAACGTCGATTTTTCTGCTTTCGAAAAAAGACTTGTCTCATGCTTTCGTAGACTGTATCAGCAGAGAATGGATATATAATAAATATGAAATAATGAATTAATAATCACAACACCTTTAATACGAAGGGTTTTAAATTAAGAATACATTTATTAAGAATCTCTGCACTTAACATTAATGCACATTTACGGAGGTAGCACTAGAAGAAATAATACTTTTTATCTCTAAGAAAAAAGGAACCACATTTTTTATATTAAATTCACCACACTACAGTGTTGTAAGAAGAAGTATAACAATTTCATAGCAATAAAAATACAACGCACGTAATAATCTTTTCAGTACTGCTATCAAAATGTAAACAAATGGTATGGAGGTGTACTTTCGAGCCCAAGCAAAGTCAAGGCGCTTCTAAGCGTAGAGGAAATGATGTCATCGGAAGCCGTATCCAATCACGAGGAGGAATTTTTCCCTATGTGCGTGGCGCGGTACAGAATGCTTATATGCCGTTCGGGACAGCTCTAGCTTAATAGAAAACGGATAATACTTATCTCCATCTCCAAATAACTCATTTACTAACGATTGCATATAAGTTAGAAGTATGGCAGTTTTTAAAGTAGACTTCCCTCAGGAAATTAATAACATTTCTGGTCTAATTCATTTTAATGCTTGCATCTACTCAGTTATAAAATATTTTTTAATGTCCTAAAATATTAGGAATGAATTATAGTAATATTCCTTCCCCAGGAAGTTTTACTTTATTACTATTTCTGTAATTTAAAAATTAAAAGCAGCTTTGTGAATGAAGTAAACTTTTCTTTAAAGAGAAAAAATAATAATAAAAAACTCTTTCGCCTAGACAGATATACAAAACAAATGAGGACTTAGTTATTATTTAAGATTTTTTTTATTTAGCATTTTGCGAAAATGCCTCTCTTTTTCAAAACTGAGTAGAAACCTATTTGATTCTTTTCATTTTATACAAAACTTACTTACTCTTATTATTTTCATAAAATCTTCTAAGGAATGTGGAACATCTTCTTTGAAATTATACACCGATTCGTATTTAAGTATTCCAGCACAATTTATTACAGCATCTAATTTGTGGAATTTTGCTTTTGTTATTTTTAAGGCTTCTTGGATATCCTTTTCCTCAGTGACCTATAAATAAAAAAAATGTACATGCTAATAGGGAAAAAAAACGAATGAAGGAAACTGCATGTTACAATATAATTAAGAAAAGCCATCAAGATATTGTTTCTTAAAAACAAACAACTTTTTCAAACTTTCCTTTCCTCAATTTAAATTTTCGAATTCGATTCCGCACGTAATGTAAATTCTGCATATATCAACCAAAATAATACCAATCCTCGAAATTTGTAAACCTTTTTGAAATTACAATCCTTGAAATCTGTATAACCTTAATTTGAAATTACAATTAGAGATATATTAAACCTATTAATTAGTATGGATTTTGAACATTAATATTGGAATCAAATAAAAATATGAATCTAATCAGAAACAACAGATAATATGGGGAACATGTGTTCAGTTGTTTTACTACTAAATTTCCGGTTTCATTTCTGCAATTAACACTGAATGACAATTGTTTACTCTTGGCCTTTTTTTAATGGAACATAATAAAAAACCAAATTTGTTATAATTGTGTAGAATAATATAAGAATTTAAATTTCGTCAAACATTTTTAAACAGAATAAGATGCTTGAAGCAAGACAATGACTCTGTAACTTCTAAGATAAAAAAAATCTATAAACAAGAATTTTTGAAACCCCAAAGTTTTCAGTGTACTGAGATAATTAAATGCAAAAAAACTTCCTAAACCTGTTCATTGTAAACTAGCATAATTTAAATGAATAAAATTTAAATACTTACATCAGTGGGGACAAAAATACATTTTCCTCCAAGTTCATCAGCAATATTTTGTCCATTTGAAGATTCTAAGTCACATATTACTACACTGGCTCCATTTCGAACCAAACGTTCAACTATCCCTTTTCCAAGCCCAGACGCCCCTCCAGTAACAAGAGCCACTAAGCCCTTCAAATAGACATTTGAAGTTAACATAGGGAACCAATAATGCACAAGCAAAAATACAGTGGACAGACAAAAAGAAAATATACAAGTAATGAACAAAAATAAATTTTTGAAACTAGATTTAGACTTCATAAAAAGAAATGAAAATTCTCGAACAAGCCGAAAATTTATAAAATATCCTGAGTATTGAATTAAGATAAATTTACGCAATACATTTGATCCCGAAATTATAAAATTCGAGACATTTATGTCTTTTTTTTTCTTCATTTAAGCAATTGTGAAATTATCCAATGTTTAATTTCAAAATTTATAAAAGTTCGAGTTAGCATGGCGAAAACGTAATATATGTTCATTCGAACTAATTTTATTACAAAGAAAAATAAAAGAAACAGGAATCTGAAATAGAGATTTTAGTGGTTTTCTTCTTATCCTGAGTGACTGACCTCTCCTATCTTCAGCACCTCTTCCCCTTAATTAAAAAACTCACCTTAGTTTTTCCGACACCCGCTTTCCTTTTCTATCCAAATCTCGGTATCCACCTTCCTTATCCGAATAACTTATTCTGAGGACCAACCTCCGAACATCTTCATCCAAACTTATCGTCGCCTTCTGCTGCCAAATCTATTATCGTAACTATCGCCAAACATATAACCATATCTACTCCCCCATTTGTTTCGGTCAACCTCTTACTTTCGTACATTATCGCGATTTTGAACAATTATTTCAAAGTACTGGATTTTCGCAATTCTATGAAAGATCTGCTCCTAAGTTAGCAAATTCGGTATAAATACTGTATCACTTTACTGCTGCCCAGCCGTTATAGTGGTTCAGCCAGGTGAAGGCACGGATCATTTTAAGCGTATAGTGTCTGTGCGGCAAAAGGGCACTCAAAATACTTAGCGAGCCTAATGTGCTCTCGACAGGCTGATGGTAGAGGAAGATAGGTGGGAGACCCTAGAAACCGCGGGTTGTTTTTCCTGAAAATCTTGAAGGAAGCTTAATAATTATGAAGGGCGGTGATACCTAACATATAACTATGGAACAAGTGACAACCTTGCTTCAACTTGTGTAGGTCCGACTTCCTTCCATACCATAATTGTAAGATTTTTAACTTTCCGCAATACAGACGACGTCAGTTCTTCTGCCCCCAGCTGATATTTTCCAAATAATTCCGATTTCAACCGACCCTATCTTTTGCACTACGGGAAATGATTTAATTAATGTGGCCTTAAACCGATGAAAATTGTACCTCTTACTGACAGGTCATTTAAAAGACTTTTTCCGATTCCTATGAATTAGTTCAGTGCCTGCTTTTTCAAAAATGATCGCTGATATCTAACCTTCTGTTTATAAGATATTTCTCCCCCCTTCTTAGCGAGCCTTCGTGGTGTAGTGGTATGCACACTCAGAGCGTAACTGAGAGGTCCGTGGTTCGATTCCCGGCGAAGGCATTGCTAATTTTTTATCTTGCCTGCTCCTAAAAAAATACATAATGTCTCTACATGTTAACTGATAGACAACTGACTTTCGGTTGCTCTTAAACCGTTTATCGAAAAGTTATTTTCCAGTCCTTCCATGAAACTTGATACCGAGATATTACCATCAGAAATGAGCTCGAGCTTCATTGAAACTTCATTTAAACATCTGCTAGATCTCCGAAACCTTTCATCGGATTTGCCGATGAAAGATTTCTTACAAATTGCAATTTTGCAGATGTTAAACTAATATTCGCACTATTTCGCGACATAGGTAACTAAGCAAGTTGAGAGCCACTGTACCGCTGTACATTCTCTTAAATGCTAGCATGTCGAACCATAAACACAGACTGGCAGTTTATCGTCCTGCTGTAACTCCGATGAAGTGTAACACGAATTCAGATTAAAATTAAAAATAACACGACAGCCTAATGGTTACATAAAACTGAAGAAATAACAGAACACAACCTCAGCAGCTAGCTTAAAATTTATGATAACTGTTCAAATTAAACTGAAATCTAAATACAAAGTAATAATCGCCTACTAAGATTAAACTTCGGCCATGATATTTCCAAGAAGCAATTGCTAAGCAGTTCAATAGCAGAGGAATCTAACGGAGTTGCCAGTCAGCAATAGCTGCCAAAGGCTTTCTTCCGAACTCAAAAATTCTTCGAACATTAACTAATTTACATCCTTGTGAGAATTGTTATTGAGTAAATAGAAGTGAAAGTAAAGGCAAAATGATAATATAACTACGTTAATTAACATAAAACCCTAAGGAAAAGGGCTTAATCATGAATAATATTTGATTCCAAACAATTATTTTTAGGATTTGAAATTAAAACTTGAATGTAAATCAAAATAATAATTTTTGGACGCATACCAGAATGCATTTTTTTGCATCATCTAATTACTTTGAGTACATTTAATCTTCCATTTAATTCGAAATGAAAAATTTAAAGGAAAAATGTGGTAAAATATGTATAATTTTCTACCGAAATACATGCAGCCTTTTTTAATAAAGAGTATTGGTTAATAAATGTTCAGCTTTGCATACGATTGAATAATCAGACTAACTCGAGCACTTTTACTCTGTAGGTCTTGTTAACACCAATAATAAATAGACCAATAATAGCATCATGCTGTTCTATAGTAATACAAGTAATGTATGTACATATCTTATAATTAAATATTAGTTTTTAGAACAGCGTTTGATGTTATTCGGCAAAACCTCGGAACAGAGGCTATCTAGGAACGCATTTCATCCTTGTTCCTTTTAGAAAGTTTTCAGCAAAATTCTGTATTCCTGCAGAAATTTTACTGCTGCTTCTTCCATTGTTGGCTAATTCCACAAGCTCATATTTTAAAACTAAGTTCAAGGCAAAAAATTCACGATTTGTTTATATAAACCGTTGGAACTTGAGATGCAGCAAAAAAAGAACGCGTAAAGAATGGCGGTGTTGCTTGATTGAGGGAATGCTATTGAACATGGTTGCCGGAAGAATGGCTATGAGCATAGCTACCAGAGTTTGGCACATTCTGAAAATTTGGCAACATCGACTAAACTGGTTGCGTTAATATGTAAGTACTTAGAAGTTTTAGCATTTCAAAATAGTATTTTTTTATAATAAAATTGATTTTTTTGTTCAGTAGTTACGGTAATGCAACTGGAATCTAATCATTTAAATTCTGAAAACTGAGTTCATGGTCAATTTTCTGATGGAATTTTGATCATGTTTACGTTACTTATGGAAAAAAACAACAACATGAAAACATTATTCCTTTTTAGCTGCCAAATTATCGGTATTTCGCTATTTAAGGCGTCCCGTCACCAGTAGTCATTGCTTAGTCCGTGCAGTTTTATTTTTAAATGCCATAACCAAATTTTGTAAACTATAACATGTTGCAAATTTGTTTAAATTACTGATGTCGTATAATTATAGGGCATCTCAAATAATTATCACTTTCATAGCACTGTAAACAGCGTAGACAGTACAATAAAAATTATAATACTGAAAAATTAAGCTTTGAAATTAAAAACTACATATTACAATAAAAATCAAGAAAATTTAATACTCAGCATTTCAATTACTATGCACCCCGCAGTTAAACATTATAACTATTATAATAGCATTTTATGCATTATTTTAAGTTTGAATTGTAATAAAATCAATTATACAAAAATATGATCGTAAGAATGCACTCCCATTGTTCAATATGTAGTTCTTTTCATACACAATATACTTTAACTTTTACAAAAATGAATTGTTCAGAAAAAATTGGAAGAATATGTATGGTTCTTAAACCTAGATAAAATTACATTTTCCTTAAAGATGCATTTCAAACAGGAAAATTTCATACAGAAATTTACAATATAATGGCATTAATTTCATATTATTCAAAAGAAAGGCATTTTTTCCCTTCATAAAAATTACAAATATGTTAATGAAGCCTACTTCTCTATTACCTTCACATCTTTTATCGTACTACTCATATTGGTATACTTCTTCTTCACATACAAAATGAGAAATGATTAAGAAGTGCCTTTTACATATCTTATGTTATACCAAGATAAGAGAAGAATCCTTTAGGTGATAAGGACTATAGATTGCGCTACATTTGCCCTCTGAGCATATCTTTTGTTACATGGAACTAAAAATATTCCCCGAACATAGAAATAGGTGCAGTACTTTTCGGATTAAAATGCTAGTTTAAGCCAAATAATAAAAAGCGTCACTTCCTTATAAAAGCTGTCTTTGATTAAAAATTTGCCCATTAAAGATTTTATTATTGTTTTTGCCAATTTTGGCAACTAATTGCCATGGCATTTTATTAAAGGAATACCATTTATTTTCAAACAACATTTAATTTAATTTAGCTTGTTGTTTGTTTACTTAGATTCAGAAAATTTTAAATGAACTAAGTTACGATCCTTATTCTTAAAGATCGAATAATTTTGAAAACTTCAGTTTTATTCTTTCTGTCCGTTAAGAATCAAAATATTTACATATGCATGTGTTAGTCAGAGCAGTAAAAACATAGAGGCTACATCTGTCTAATATTTTATTTTGTAAAAAATGTGAATTCTCTTCGAATTTCTCAGAAAAAGTTTTGAAATGGCTGACACCAGTATGAAATTAGTTTCACGTTTTCTTTTTGAAATTCTGTTAGCTCATAGACGAAAAACTAGTTAAAATGGGCTTCACATTTAGCATGAATTGTTAGCTAGAAAGCAGAATTTTAGTTTAAAATTTCGAGATCATTTGAAGCATAGAATAGAAAGCGTTAGTGAAAATGATATTTTGTCATGGCAATTAGACCAACCTCTCTCTAAAGTCTAAAGAAACCGTTTTTAAACCCACATAAATTAAATTAAATAAATTTAATTTTCTTCATACCTAGTGGATAAAGCAAGAAAAATAGATTCGTCATGATTTACCAGAAGAAAAAACCCGCAAAGCATGATGATTTGCTCATCGTTAAGGAATCCATTACTAAATAAAACTTATCACCTACCAAAAATAAATAAATAAATAAATAAATAAATAAAAATAGAGGGGATTTTTTCAGAAGAGTCTCGTAATAAGGTTTTAAATTAAGATCTTATTTCAAGAAGTTCCATATTCTTATATTTTGAACACAGTATAATACGTCATGAGTTTTAGAACGTTTATTTATAAAACATTTACTTGTTTAATGAAGAAATTAAAACGTCCGATTTTTCTGTGAAAAATATTTATTATCATCACGCAGACAAAAGTGCCTGATCTGATTCGGAAACTAAACGATTTCGTTTTTTTTTTTTTTTTTTTTTTTTTTTTTTTTTTTTTTTTCTCTCTTACTATTTATGAAAAAAAAAAAAAAAGTTTAAAACTGCAAATTTTAACCACCATAATTAAAACGTTTAATTACTGTATATAAAATGTTAGATATAGTATATGAAAACATACATACTTAATTTATGCATGAGAAATAGTCGTATTAATCAAAATATAAGGATTATAAATCAGATCAAACTTCATCGTACGAAAGGGTTCGTCTAACGACACTCACGCAACAGGTAACAGTCACCAAATGATTATTGCTACTATTTGTGGGGTGAAGACCTGGAATCCAAAATACTCGTTTTCAAACAGCTCTTATTATAAGCAATGCAATTAAATCTCTAACAGACGACATACGAAATTGAACTTGGCAAATTCTCATTCCTTTATTTTTTATGCTATTTTTTGTTCCTTGTTCTTTAATTTCATAAATTTTTATTTATTTTGCTTCCCTGAATTGGCCGTGTACCACAGTTTAGGAACCTTTGCTCTAGTTCGTGTCCACATACCGCAACGTGTATGAGGATTAACTAGAGTTTGGGTAGTATCATTCATACAATCTTCAAGACAAGAATCTTCAATCAAGGCCGTAAATACCACAGAGGCAACCGGGCTTTGCCTCGAGGCCCCAAGCTTAGCGGATCTCTGAATGAGGAGAAAAAATACATCGACACTTTTATGTTGAACACATTACTTTTTCAAAAATTAAACTTCGATAACCATATTTATACTTTAGCTTTTCAGGCAAGAAATTATTTATCTAAGTATATAGAAAGTTTATTTCTAATTAAAAAATTCGCAGGTATAAAAAATTATACATGCGAATGCACCGATCACTAATCCGATTTATGTCAGTCTTGCAGTTAGTTGGCGCAACTCAGGTTGGCTTAGGTAAAAGGCATCTGAGTGAAGCTATAGAGTATCAGTACGATACGACAGAAAAGATTGTACTCAAGATAGGTTTTTGGTAGAATCCTTCTGCACGGTGGCTGGGACAATCCTGGTTTCATGGGATTGAGACGGTTCGAAGGTACGGTGCTGGCCAGTTTGTCATTTTGTTCCGATAATTTTTAAAATATTAAAAAATAAATATCACGCATTAAGAATATTAAGATATACACGTTAAAAATAATTTTAATACTTTCTCTGTACTATTGTATTGTATACCACTGTTCGCACATAGCTTCATATCACTGCTCGTACATAGCTTCATATCACTGTTTGTACATAGCTTCATATGCAGAACATAACTATTTGTTTTGTATTTTGGGTCATCTAAGAACAGTCATATAACTATGTTATATTTATTGCTAGTTATATGCTCATATTGTAAGACCTATCTCTATTATTCCACATAAACTAAATTAGATCCTACTATGAACCTGGCGAATTCTCTCGCACAGGCGTGAATTAAATACCAGCACAGAAGAAGGGTGCAAAATAACACTTTATTAATTCAAACTAATTTAACAGAAAAGCACGTTCGTGCGTTACAAAAATACCGTTCATTTGCGGTGGTAACTAAACGTAGACTATAATAAAAGTCAAACCTGAAAATAAATAGTGCAAGAGCGCTTTTCAGTTTACGCCTAAGAGGTGGACTCTTAGAAATCTAACCGGCGTGATACTAAACTGATAAGGCCAAGAGGCTTACTAGCGTGACCACGAAATAACAACGAAACGTGCGCTTGGTTAGCGAAACACCCTCTGAATAAACTGAGATATTCACTCATTTAAATAGCACTTCACTTAACTTTAAATTTACATTCTGTCGGGAGAATGTGAGGGGAACTTAAAAGGCTAGAACAGGAAAACTTAAAATAAATTTGTTATGCAAAATAAGGAAAACCCTACAATATGTTTAGTATACGTGTTTCCAACTTAATTGTTGGTATTTTCCACTTCGCAGTTTTTTTTTAACTTTATTATTTTAATTCCAACGAAGTGACTCAAATAAAAACACAGAACTTATAATTTAAATGCTGGCTGGGAACAGTCATATTGTTTCGTCAATTTTTAAAATAAATATATTTGTTTGTCTTGGGTCAGTAGAGATGCGGTGCTGAAAAATAAAATATTTTTGAATGTCACTTCACTTCTAATACGACCTTTTCACTCAATTCTGATGTAAATAAAAAGAAAATAAATCAGTTAAAATAGAACATGTTTGCTCAAAAGTGATAATTTCTAAGCCTGTGGTAAAATGTCAGAATGCCTGTGGAAAATGTCACCACTGCTTCTTTCAAAATTTCTCACATAGTCGGAAAGAAAAAACAGTCTTCCCAGTGATGATTAATTTTTAAAGGAAGCATTTTTAACTGATGTCGAACGCTTATTTGAGAGGTCTTTCTAATCAACGGGAGATATATCACCAATACATGACTTGCAGTTTTCAGATAACAAGTCAAAAGAAAAATGCATATAATTTCAAAAGATATGTACTCAGTTAAAGCGTGGGGTGAAGGGTTTTTATTACAAGGTTATCAGTCTACATATATCTCAGACTGCATAAAAAGACCCTTTTATACCAATGATTCATTCTGTCTATACTCACTCTTTAACTTTCTTATTCTTAGGCCCTAAATTCCCAAAGTAAGTGATACTTTCATGGAGTACAGTAGAAGACCCAAAGAAAATTAGGGGACGTTGAGATGGCACGGAGGAGCGTGAGCAGATTAAAAAATATTGTCTAAAAAAAGGCCAAAAAAAAGCACGCTAATCTTTTACTAACTATAATATTGGAGCGCTAGTTCAGCTATCCTACCCCTTATACATTAAAAAAAAAAAAAAAAAAAAAAAAAAAAAAAAAAAAAAAAAACATTTATAATTTAGTCTAAGGGGATAGGAAAAGTGCATTAAATGTTAAGTTTTTTTTTTTTTTTTTTTTTTTTTTTTGGTGTGTGTGTGTGCTTTTGTTTATTTTCAAAAAGTGGAAATCATGCTAGAGGAGCTTGCAAACTTCGAATTGTTTCATAACATTTTTGTAGTTAGTAGAGGTTGTAGCAAAAGAAGGGTAGAAACAATTATTTTTTGTAACAATAAAGAGTTATACTTAGTTTAACTTTGTATCTGATAGGTTCCTTTATACTCAGTAGTAACGAGAATTAATAAATTGTAGCAAGATTTTGTTACTGTATCTGGAATACTCACTAATATCTTTATAAATGTATAATTGCAGTTTAGGCAACTATATTTTGCAGGAGGAAGTACTAACCATAACCTAACTTTATTTATAAAGCTAATTAAGTATACAGGAAAAGTCCTTTTATGGCCACTGATAGACTGTATTAATGATTCATATAAAATTCGGCCTTTTAAAAAATAAACCAATAGATTTTGTTTAAATGTTTACTTTTTTTATTGTTTATAAATCTTTGAGGAAGGTAGGAAAACTGAACTAGTGCCAATATTGGTTAATTTTGTTACTGTATGTATTTTAATCATTTTTATTACATTCGAAAATTCACATATTTCCGTAGTTCGGGAAGTGGATGAAAACTGAACTTAAAGATTCCATTACATTCGGATCTACATTAACTTGAATGATATAAAAATTTGGAATTTTAGATTTGAATTAAAAAATTTTCAAATCATCCAATTTCACGTGAAATATCTCATATGTAAATACAGGTAAAATTAACAGAAACGCGTTAATAAAAAATAGCAAAAACATATGCTTGTAGCACTTTAGTTATAATAAATGTTTGTTAAATAATGTAATTTTTGCAGTCCCGCAGGAATTGACAGTG